CCACGGCCTCGCGGCAGCGGGGGGGGGGGGGAGGGGGGTTCACGAACCCCACCCCCCCCCCCCTTTGGGTGATCCAGCGGCGCGCCCTCAAGCGATCAAATCCACTGACGTCAGAAGGGCGATCCTGTTCACCTACGCCGTGTCGTTCGTTTCGACGGAAAGCGATCCTGCTCGAGTGCTCGTCGATTTCGTACACGTCATGGGCGAGGTCTTCGATCATCTAGGCTGGGCGAATACTTCAAAAGGTTGGTCATTGACGAATATATTTCAGAAGTGCCCCAGAGTGGTGGCGGCTATGCTACAGGTGGCATCATGCAGCCTACATCTCGATGGAGTCGTGGCGGCACGGGTTGGCAGAACGGTGCCGACGCTGCCTGGGTTGCGCGACTTCGATTTCTTCGCGATGTGATGGTGGGCGCCGAGGAGACAAGGCAGGGGGGGGCGCGGGCGTGGAAGTGTTGTGCCACGGCGAGGGCGCAGCTTCGGAGCGTCTGAGTTTGCGACAGATTTTCGGCGAAGCATACTGGAACACCACTTTTTAAATGCAGTTCTTCACCGTAGAGCCCGATGTGCTGGACATCCTGCAGGAGCAGGCCCCTCAGGTACCGCGCGTGGGAAGGCCTCATCTGCCTGGCGTGGGCGCTCGGCGGTGGGAACATCGTTCGATTGCCGGGCGCCCGTTCTCAGCGGGCTCACAGGGCTCCGAGAATCCAGCAGCGCACGTGGCAAGAAGGCTGGAAGACGAGTCCCCAGAGATGGTGTCGACACCTCCGCGCCCGCCGCCGGGACGCCCACGTCCGACTGAAGGGCCGACAGCGAAGGCGACGGTGGAGGAGTCTAACGAGGAAGGAGTCAAGGACGACAGTCTCTACGAGCTGCACTCGGTCGAGGTACTCTGGGCGATACCGAAAGAAGGCAAGGAGATACCAGACGAGGGCGATGTTCTGCAACTGGTGAGGTATCTGACGGAGGAGCCCGACACTTCGGCTATTGACAGGAGTGACGTGATCACGGACTACGACGTCATGGATGCCTGGATGACTCAGGAAGACAACTACGCAAGATGACCACGGAGATAGTGGAGTCTCTGCAACCCGAGAAGGTTATGCATATTGGGTTCGCTGCGGAAGCGCGGAAGATGCCGAGCGAACCGTGCGTCGAGGGAGATCCCCGACATGCGGACGATGTGGTAACTTTCACATTCTACGGGGACGTCACCGCGAAGGTGGTGATAGAGCGCGACGACAGCATCCTGACGCCGGCCGAGAAGATCGAACATCGAGAAGCATGCAACGCATGCCGACTCCCAGCTTTGGCTGAAACATGATGGCCCGGTTCTAGTGTTGGTGGTTTTCGCGCGCCTGGACGACCTGAAGCATGCTGGAGATGACAAGGCCGCGAACGAGATGATACGAGCGTTGGAGACGGTTTTCGGTAGGATGGCCACTCACGAGAATAACTCCGTGCACGGTGGCCTCCGACACCGACAGTTGGACGATGTGAGTACAGAAGTGGACCAAACGGAGTACATCAATAATTTGAATTGCATCGACGATAAGGAGCTACAAGGTAAGAGTAACGAGGACGAGCCGCCAGAGAAGCATGTGAAGCTGCATCCGTCCCTCCTTGGAGCTATCGCGTGGTCTATCATGACGAGGATAGACACCTGTATACATGTGGCGGCTTTGCAGAGGCACGGCAAGGCTCCGAAGGTGGGTCACAGCAGGAAGATGAGCGTGTTGCTGGAATACATGAAGGAGAATCTTATGTCCCTGGTGACACATCAGCTGAACCTGCCAGTGAAGTTGGTTACATTTGGCGACGCAGCTTTCAGGAGAAAGCCAGATGACAAGGAGCTGGCCATGGGGATGCGGTATATCTTCTGGTGGAAGACGGAGAAGGACCAGGAGGCAAGTGCAATATGCTGGAGTAGTATCCGAGGAAGCAGGCTGACGTGGTGCGAAGCACGCGGGGAGCCGAGGTGTGCCAGCTATCAGATGGATGCGATAATATTATTCTGCTGGCGGGTTTACTGGCAGAGGTGCAGATGTGAGAGATGAGTGTACGACGACTACGAGACATGGTGGACGGCGCAGAGGGCTGCATGAAGCCAGTTCTACCGCTGGAAATTTATGTAGATGCGCAGAGTGCGTATTCAGACATTACGGCTGAGCAGGTCAAGATGCTGGCCGAAAGGCATATCACGCACAATGGATACGAGAACTGCTGGATCGAGCCATCCTACGAGTATTATGGTGGATCGACACGAGAGACTGTTGTGCAGACGGTCTCACCAAAGGCAGTGTACCACGAGAAGCACTGAGGTGCGTCGCGCGAGGATGGTGGAAGGTTCAGCACCCTGTTACGGCCTGGAAGTCGACGGGCCGAGTGCTCCAGAGATCGAGTCGGGTTTCGAGTCGAGCACCGTCGACGACATAGAGGGCCTCTTCATCTACGTTTTGATGTTTCGAGGATTGTATGCTCTGGCGGGCAGACTCCTGTGCCTGTTGGAGATCAACGACCTGAACACGTTCACCACCAGAGTCGAGAACTGGGGGTGTGACGTGGGGAGCAAGGGCAGCACGGGCGAGCACGGCGACCTGCTGCGGCTGCCCTGGCTCAAGGCCGAGCGATCGAGGCCTGCGCCCGAGGGCGCGGACATCGGAGAGAGCTGGTGCGGCTGTGGCGCCAGCGTCGGGAGGAAAGGCTTCTCGACTGAGGAGGAGCAAGAGGAGGAGGAGGAGGAGGAGGAGGAGGAGGAGGAGGAGGAGGAGGAGGAGGAGGAGGAGGAGGAGGAGGAGGAGGAGGAGGAGAGGAGAGGGAGGAGGAGGAGGAGGAGAGGAGGAGGAGCAAGAGGAGGAGGAAGAGGAGGAGGAAGACGAGGAGGAAGAGGAGGAGGAGGAGGAGGAAGAGGAGGAAGAGGAGGAGGAGGATGACGACGAGGAGGAGGACGAGGAGGAAGAGGAGAAGGAGGAGGAGGAGGAGGAGGAGGAACTCCTTTCGATTCTTTTCGAGCTCCAGGGGCCTTCCTTGGGCCCCGGGATCGACTCGGGGTGAGAAAAGCTTTTCTGGCAGTGAGAAGGCCCAGGGCCCAGGGCACGTTTCCACCATGTCCTGAAGGCTTTTCGCCGTTGTCGCTTCTTTTCGAGCTCCAGGGGCCCTCCTTGGGCCCCAGGATCCACTCGGGGTGAGAAAAGCTGGTCTGGCAGTAAGACAGCCCAGGGCCCAGGGCGCATTTCCACCAGGGCCCGCTGCCCTCGTGCCGCGAGGAGCCCGAGCGCATCGGTGCCACCCCTGTCGTGGCCGGGTTGGGCCAGGAGGCGGAGGGCCAGTGGCGCGAGGAGCCGAACACGACGGTGGTGCTCAGGAACATCCCCGTGCGCTTCACGCGCGACGAACTCCGGAAGCACCTCGACGCGGGGAGTGTCGCAGGCGGGTACGATTTCCTCTACCTGCCGATCGACTTCGCGAAGCAGCAGAATTTTGGTTACTGTTTCGTCAACCTCACGAGTCCAGACCTCGCTCATTGTATCTTCGCCGAGTTCGACGGCCGCAGTTGGGGCCACTCCAGCGAAGAGAGGGCCATCGTGAACTGGAGCCTGACCCAGGGCCTGGACGCGCACATCGAGCGCTACCGGAACAGCCCGATTATGCACGAGAGCATGCTGGACGAGTGCAAGCCGATCGTGTTGGAGGGTGGTGCCAGGCCAGAGGAGGACGGGATGCCGATACCGCCGCCCTTTCCTGGGAGGCCCTCGCCGCCACGACTGGATGCGTCGCGGAATCCTGGTCAGGACGCGCCCTTGGCGAAAGGTCCAAGGAGCATCGGTATATTCGCAGCAGCGCTTTCCACGTGCGATTCGGCATGGGGGGAGGGCTCGTAAAGCCCCTCCAAGGGGGCTCCCCCAGTTTCGGGGACCCGCCTTTCGGGGAGTTTGCCAAGGCAAGCGGGCCTCCAACGCGCTCTCCCGCACAGTCATGACTAGCGCTGCGGACCCTACCCTTCGCTCGCTCGGGCGCGGGCGCCCGTGACTCCCGCGCCGTTCCACGAGGGCCTTGCACCCTCGAGCTCCACCCCCAGACAATTTCTTCGATGCGTGGGCCGCACAGAGGTCCAGACCACTTCCCCATAGGGCATGTTTGCCCTCCCGAGCCGTTGTGTTGGACGCTCCCGCGGGGCCCGGCGAGGAGGGCCCCTGGAGGCCGAAACCTGCCCGAACCTGGCCACTTCCATGGAGCGTCGGATCTCTGGGCCCTTGCCTCTGATCTGGAAGCCGTATTCTTCACGACATCTTAAACTGACTTCTAACACGAAATGAGGAACATGAGAAGTTCTCAGCGTTGTGATGAATCACATACAGAAGCCAGCTCGGCCCGCCCCCCCCCCCGCCCGAGGGTGGACTTCCCGCCGCCCACCAAGACGCTGCAGCGCCTCCGCCGCCTGCGCACCCGCTGCGGCTCGCGCGGGCGGGGCGTGCGCTCCTCCGGCGCCTGCGGCCTCGCGGCGGCGCGGCCGGCCGCGGGCGCGCCCGGCGCGCCCGCGGGCGCCTCGCCCCTGCTCCCGGGGCTGTCGGGCGCCCCGGGCGGCGCCCCCCTGGCGAGCCCGCTCCTCGCCGGCCTGCTGCGCTCGAGCGCGGAGGCTCCGGCGGCCGTGTGCCCGCGGCGCGAGGAGGGAGCGGCGCGCAGAGGGGGGGGAGGGAAGCAGGGAGGGAGGGGAGGGGGGGAGGGGGAGGGGAGGGGGGAGGGGGGGGGGGGAAGCACTTGGGAGGGGAGGGGGAGAGGGGGGGGGAGGCTTCCGAGGAGGGGGAGGGCCGCTGCATGGGAGGGCGCGGGCCTGGCGTCTGCAGGGCCCGCGCCGTCTGAGGCGCAGGGGTGCCTCGAAGAGGAGCCCTCCCCCGCTCATGTTATATACCCCGGCCCCCCCCCCCCCCTTCTGCGCGTGGCCGAGAGGAGGCGCCCGCGGGGTGCCCCGGGGCGCCCGGGCAGCGCTCCAGCCTGGCCGCAGCGCCGCTGCGCGGGAGGACCTCGTGGGCGGACCTGCGGGACGGCCCGGCAGATGGCACGGGGCCCAAGCATAATACACCACCGCCACCTCCCTCGCCCCCCCCACCCCCCTGCCAGGACAGAGGAGAGGAGGAAGAGGGTGGAGGAGGGAGGAGGGATCGGCGTGGTGGTGGTGTATATTCTTGGGGCCCGCAGATGCTGGCAGCGACTGCTCCACGCAGGTGCCGGACTACTTCAGCGACTCGCGCTCGTCGGACGGTTCAGGCGGTGTCTCGGACAGCCGTGTGCGCCGCTCGCGAAGCGCTGCCAATTCGGCCCAGCCGTGGACGGCATCAATGCTCGCGCACGGCCTGACGCCGGCGCTGCCATCGTAGACGATCAGAGGGCCGGTAGGTTTCCAGCCTCGTATGAATTCGCCCACCCCTGGCTCATTGATCCGAGACTGCCGACGCTCACGCGTCATGGTAGGCGTGCAGGAAACGTCTTGCACCGTTCGTTCGCTTAGGAATGAATCCTGCAGAGTCTCGCCGCACCACACCTCGCAAGATAGAGTCTTGCAGTCGATTTTTGCCTTCCCTGTTCATCTAGAATACTGGCCGCCTTCGCAAGCCGCGGGCTGCGCCAGCACGGGTAGCACCGCGACGCTCTCCGAGTGCTTCCTCAGTGCTGGATGGAGTCTTACACCGATCGCGTGCAGGACTTTCTCTCGCTTTGCCCAGTGGAGAGGTGTGCGCCAGCGCAGGATAGAGTTCTGCGCCGCACGCCCACAGAGGTCAGCCAGCCAGCATAAATTCATTACATATATATATATATATATATATATATATATATTGCATCTGATGTCGCACCCCAAGATGGCATAGCATGTCTGGGTGGTATGTGTGTGATGGTGAACACTCATCGACTTCCCAAACTGGACTTTCCGTGAGGGGACAGAGGTTTGTTGGGAGGAGCACGATTGTTGGGGCTTTACGTTCGTCAACCCTGCTTTGCGCACACATGCGCGCACGTCATTTGCGCTTGCGCCGATCATCAATTTGTATTGATCCAGCGATTTTCTAAAGGTCTTCCATGTTTTGTTTGTGCGCGCTCCTTGGTCGGCACGAGGCCCGAGCCGCAGGGTCGTCTCCGCCTGTGCTACAGATGCTGCTGGAAAGGCTCATCTGCCTGTTTTGGGCCACTGGCCTCTTCTTCATAGCCCAGGGCGGCTACACATTATAGATAAAGTACCCAGCGGCCTCATGTCCGTCCCTCAACCATGACTGCCTTGTTGATGAAAGGCTTCTTGTGTGCTTGTAAATATTATATATCATCTAACGTGAAGAGGCTTCTGGGCCGACTCCGCTGCTGCAGGCACGTTTTTTGCAGCGGACGTCGATGAGTTCGTTCGAGAGTCACGCAGGGGTGAGGCCGCTCCAGAGCCAGGGGCCTCTGGACCCGCCTTCCTGCTGTTCTCGGTCAGATGCGTGCGCCGCTTTAACACTCTGCGCCTGGCGGGAATCGTACGACAGGCCATCATTCCCGAAGCTCCGCTCCAGCCCAGCCCAGCCCAGTCCAGCCCTCCTCCTTCTCCTCCTCCTACTCCTGTTCTTCCTACTAAGCTGTTTCGCAATCGTTCCGAATCCGAATCCGAATCCATATCCTCTTCCTCTTCCTCGGTGGAGTTTTGTTTCATCCGCTTTTGTTTCGTCCGCTTTTGTTTCGTCCGGTTTTGTTTCGTCCGCTTTTGCTTCATATAGCTTTTGTTTCATCCGCTGTTGTTTCGTCCGTCTTTTGTTTCGTCCGCTTTTGTTTCGTCTGCTTTTGTTTCGTCCGCTTTTGTTTCATCCGCTTTTGTTCTATCCGCTTTTATTTCGTCCGCTTCGGTTTCGTCCGCTGTGTTTTGGGTGATGGAAGCTGGGGGGATGGAAACCGGATGAATTCAAACTGGACTGATTAAAAACGGATGAATTTTAATTGGACGAATTAAAACCGGATGATTTTTTAACCGGACGAATGAAAACCGGATTCATTTCAACGGGCGGATTAAGACCGGATGAATTTCAACCGGACGAATTAAAACCGGACGAATCTAAACGGATGAATTAAAACCGGATGAATTTAACCGGACGAATTAAAGCCAGATGAATTTAAACCGGACGCGTAAAAACACATGGATCCAGTTCTGGGCAACCATATTAGATACCCCTTGGGTGGCCTGGACACGTAAGAACACATGGTTTCAGCTCGGGACAACCATGTTAGATCCACCCCTAGGTGGCCTGGACACTTTAAAACCATGGTCTTTGCTCGGAGCAACCATGTTAGATACCCCCCTGGGTGGCCTGGACACGTAAAAACATGTGGTGCCAGCTTGGGACAACCATGTTAGATACACCCCTGAGTGGCCTGGACACGTTAAAACATGCGGTCCTTGCTCGGGACAATCATGTTAGATACTCCCTTGGGTGGCCTGCACACGTAAAAACACGTGGTTCCAATTTGGGGCAATCATGTTAGATACCCTACTGGGTGGCCTGGACACGTACAAACACGTGGTTCCAGCTCGGGACAACCATGTTAGATACCCCCCTGGGTGTCCTGGGACCTCGTGGGGCCTCCTGTAGAGGGCCAATCTACAGAAACATATTAAAAAACGCAGGGATTCGTGCCCCTGGAGAGGGCCAATCTATGGGAACACATGAAAGAAAACACACGGATTCGTGCCCCTTGCCCCAATGTGTCCCGCACCCTGTGATTTATCGATCGGGATTTCAAACACCAGCGTTTTTCGCCAGGGACATCCTCAATAGTTCCACGCCGAGTGGGACTTTATTTTGTTATTTATAGCCAATAATTTCGCCGGCCGAAGCCGGGGGGAACAAAACGATACTGAAAGATAATCTTGGGCCCGCGCCCTTCCCGGGAACATTATCGACCCATGAACCTGGAAAGGAATGTAGAAATGTAAGGCATGGCAACGTTTCAAATATACGTGATTAGGCGAGGGGCAAAACAATGCTGAGTCTATCGATCTTGATGTACCGTGCCGAGGGCTGTGCTGTGCTGCGCCGTGCTGAATTGCGATGTGCCATGCCGCGATTGTGCTCTATAGCGTTGTGGATCGAGTCCTCCTTTGCTTCCGAGTCCTGACCGAACTGATCTGGGTCTTAAGCTCGAGCTGCCTGAGCACATAGTAGCTGCACCAGAGCTAATTGACATGGGTACATGCAAGGAGGATGCGCCGAGGAACGACCCATGGGACGCGCCAAGCGACGTGCCAGGGGGCGTGCCAGGGGGACGCACCGCGGGACGTGCCATGGGGACGCGCTACGGAACGTGCCAATGGACGTGCCACGGGACGTGCCAGGAGACGCGCCGCGCGACGTGCCAGGGGGATTCGCCACGGGACGCGCCACGGAACGTGCCAAGGAACGTACCAGGTTGCAATGCTGAGTGTATCGATCTTGATGTACGTGCCGAGGGCTGTGCTGTGCTGCGCCGTGCTGAACTGCGATGTGCCATGCCGCGATTGTGTTCTATTAGTAGTGTTGTGGGTCGAGTCTTCCTTTGCATCCGAGTCCTGACCGAACTGATCTGGATCTTGAGCTCGAGCTGCCTGAGCACATGGTGGCTGCCCCAGAGCGTTGTGGAACCCATGTGTGTTCACGCTTCCCCCGCCCAGGGGCATTAGGAACCATATGTGTTCAAGCTTGCCCCGCCATGGGGCGTTAGGAACCATGTGTTTTCACGTATCTTCCGCCCTGGGGCATTCGGAACCCGTATGTTTTCACGTTTGTCCCGCCCTGAGGCGTCAGAACCCATTTGTTTTCGCGCTTCCCCCGTCCAAGGCGCTAGGAATCCCATGTGTTTTCACGCTTGTCCCGCCCTGGGGCATTAGGATCCGATAGTGTTCTCACGCTTCTCGAGCTTCCTGAGCTTCCTGGGGCCTCCTGGGGGCTGGAGGGAAGCGAAAAGCGCTCCCCGAGCACATACGTATCCCAATCCAGAACAGGAAGGAGGCCCATGTTGGATACCCCCTAGGTGGCCTGGATACGTTAAAGCACCTGGTTCCGCCATGTCAAATACCCCCGTGGGCGGCCCGGACACGTAAAACCACGAGGTTCCAATTCGGGACAATCATGTTAGATACCCCCCTCCGGGTGGCCTGGACACGTGAAAACACGTGGGACCAGTTCTGGGCAACCATGTTAGATACACCCCTGGGTGGCCTGGACACGTGAAACACTTGGTGCCAGCTCGGGACAACCATGTTAGATACACCCGGGGGTAGTCTGGACACGTTAAATCACGTGGTCCTTGCTCGGGACAATCATCTTAGATACCCCTTTGTGTGGCCTGGATACTTGAAAACACGTGGTTCAAGCTCGGGACGACCGAATTAGATATCCCCCCCGGGTGGCCTGCACACGTAAAACACATGGTTCCAGCTCGGGGCAACCATGTTAGATACCCCCCTGGGTTCCAGCTCGGGGCAACCATGTTAGACATCCCCCTAGGTGGCCTGAGCATGTAAGAACACGTGTTTCCAGCTCGGGACAACCAGCTCGGGAACACCATGTCAGATACACACCTGCGGCCTGGACACGTTCAAAACACATGGTACCAGCTCGGGACCACCATGTTAGATACCCACCTGGGTGGCCCGGACACGTAAAACCACGTGGTTCCAGCTCGGGGCCACCATGTGAAATACCCCACCTGTGTTGCCTGGACACCAAAGCACGTGGTTCCAGCTCGGGACCACTATGTTTGATACCCCCCTGGGTGGCCTGGACAAGTGAAAACAGATGGTTCCAGCTCGCACGGGATGCACTTTTTCGACCAAAATGTGTCCCGCACCATGTGATTTATCGATCGGGATTTCAAAAACAAGCGTTTCGCTAGGGACATCCTCAATGCTTCCACGCCGAATGGGACTTAACCTCGTCATTTATCGTAACCGATTTCGCCAGCCGAAATCGAAGGGAAACAGTACTAAAAGAGAACCCTGGGCCCGCGCCCTTTCCAGGAAAAACATGTGCTTCAAGCTCGGGACAATCATGTTAGATACCCCCTCTTGGGTGGCCTGGACGCGTAAAAACACATGGTTCCAGCTCGGGGCAACCATGTTAGATACCCTGGGTGGCCTGGACACGTAACGACGCGTGTTTCCAGCTCGGGACAATTTTGGTAGATATCCCCTTGGGTGGCCTGGACATGTACAAACACATGGTTCCAGCTCGGGACACGCATGTTAGACACCCCCCTGTGTGACCTGGATACGCTGAATTCGCGCTCCCGCTCGAGACATCCTCGCAATGTCTTCCCTGGAGAGGCCCTTCAAGCGCCCCCCCCTGTCCAGAGCAAGAAAACATTTACCTTTTTCCGTATTGGGATCTGTTTTTGGGTAGCGCTTTTGGGCCCCCAGGCGTTTCCTGATAATTCGGCGTTGGGCCCGACGCCATGGTAGATACCCCCTTGGGTGGCCTGCACACGTAAAAACACGTGGTTCCAATTCGGGGCAATCATGTTAGATACCCCACTGGGTAGCCTGGACATGTACAAACACATGGATCCAGCTCTGGGCAACCATGTTAGAGACACCCTTGGGTGGTCCTTGCTCGGGACAACCATGTCAGATACCCTCATGTGTGGCCTGGACACGTAAAAACAAATTGTGCCAGCTCGGGAAACCACGTTAGATCCACCCCTGCG